TAAAATGCAATTTTGTAAAGTTTATACAGCAGTTTCAAGGTCCTCAGCATGCAACTCACCTGAGGTATTCCAAATATATATATAATATTTCATATTGCAGATTAGGGTGAAAACCCCATGTATCAAACATTTATCAAACAAATATCAATACAAAATTGGCAAATTCTTGCTAATTTATTTCCATTTCTTTCTTTCTATAGAAGTGTACTGTGAATGAAAATATAACTTAACTTTTATACTTTAATCGTTGTATTAACATATTTAGAATAAAAAAAATTCACACCTGGAAGAATATGTGTTTGATGGATCCCACGGTAAAGTATTCCCACATACTGAAGCAAAAGAGGAAGAGCGCTTCAATGTTTTTCTCTCCAAACAAGGGCAAGAATGCTTGGCAGTACCGGTGCATTTATCCCATCATCCAATTATTGCACCCCATTTTTGGTTCTAGGTCCTGCAATGTACTTTTCCACCTGAGTTCACCCCATTTCAAGCAATCCCACTTCCTTCATCACGCCCCGTCTCTAAACTTCTAAGGCAGTTCAATGCACATTATCCAGCTTCAATAATTTTATCCCACCATGTCAGAAAACATTGTTTTGATGTACTGTCTCACTTTGAAAATAATTCAATATGACATACGTCTTAATGTTAAAGTCTTAAGAACTTTCTCGTCTGAGTTCAACAAGGGGCAGTTGTGTAATTAGACAAGAAAAATGTGTAATCCTGAATTATTTCCAGTAGGGCATTACACGTGTTGTGTAGCTGAAGATGATAACACGTGGGAATGCATTGCGGTAATGGGGTTATGATCTGTTGAGGGTTGTTTTGGTAACAGAGGGAAAAAAGAGAAGATGCTGTTCACTTATAAAACAAAGTGCACTCAGTCTGCACTGCAAATATCACATACAGTGTCTCGGTTTTGGAAACCAACCAACCAAAGAACATAGGACAATTCCAAAGTAGGAACTCCTTCAGCTTGGATCACATGCGGTGTATCTTGTTATACAAACCAGCTTTTGTTAATTGACGGAGACTATTGACTGGACCTTTAGACCGAAAACACACATGGAAAGTTGCCATCATATTCTTTGCTGGAACTCCCACCACAAACTGCCAGAATGGCTACCAGCTCTGGTTCAGGTTAGGTCTTCGTCTGGCTTGTTTCAAAGTTTAAGAAATCCCAAAATGGATCACTCAGTATTCTTTCTCCCTTCCCTGTTTCCATCCATTAAAAGTGGCATGTGGAGAGTACGGACTCCCCAAATTCCACCACGCTTTGCACACACATCTCATCAAATATACCAATGGTTGCTGGACTGATTGTGGCTAAATGGAAGGTTCGAATGCCCTTCCCAAAACCTGTCACATGGTGTGTTATGATCATTACATCGGACAAGGTTTTTGATGTGAGGCAGAGTGCAAAGTGAATTAAAGTGAAAAATCACATCTTTTTACGGAACAAAGCTCAGTGCTACAGGGCAGAACAGGATACAGAACAAAACCATCATAAAAACAAAGTATTAATGGCTAAAATGAATCACAAGTGATTACCAATATATTTTTTGTGATAATATTTTTGTGTAGTGTAAAGAAAAAGTCCAAGTCAAAGCGAAATTATTGAAATATTCACTAAGAAACAGATGATCCATTTGCCAGATTGAATGCTTAATGCTAAATTCCTTTGTCAGATACAATGTTTCTTTATCTCTTTCATCAGTCCACTTTGTAGTATTTTCCTTTGTGCTTAAGGAGATCATAAGGAATGTTTTCTCACTCTGTCAGAGCTCCGAACCACCTCAGTCTTTCTCACTTCCAGGCTCATTTTCTCTGACAGTGAAACAGGACACTAGCGCTATAGCATTCACAATTTTTACAACTCTACAACTCCCATTATAAAATCCAGACCAGTTTTGTAATCTGCTGACGGTGCTTGCTTCCCAGCTCTGTCCCAATTCTCTTCCTTCTCTCCATAAAAAGCCATTTTGCACTGAAATTTCATTTGCACGTACAGATATTCTTTTCAGTCTCCATCTGGGTTGGTTTCTCTGTGTTTCTCACACATAAATTCCCCAATGGCAGCAGTTGAGCAAGAGGTGGTTTTTGAGAAGGAGTGTTCGTAGTGTAATTCTTAAACCTTCAAATTAACACCTACAGACTGTCTGTATGACTTTATTATCTGTATAAGAGATTGTATACTTACACACACTTCATGCACACAAACACAGGTATTAGCACACTGCATTGTTTCCATAGCAATTTTGTCGCAATACTCAAAGGTCCAACATAGAGGGAAATTGTTGGTGTCCTTGCAGAGTCCAGACAAAAGATCAATATGTCTGCTCAAACCAGGCCTGTACTTTCAGGTAAAGACAATCATCTGTTTTTAAAGTTGTAGATATTTGTGTAAAGGAGGCAGAATCAAAGAGGATGAGCAATGCAGAGCTGGAAAGATCTGATTGGAGGTCTATTCCCCAAATGCAGTGACTGGCAAACTGATAATCCAATTCATTGGAGTGCAGTTAGAATATGTCCAGTTCAAACAATGCCAATAAAACAAAAAAAAAAAGCTTCTGCATGGAACGTTCGATTCGGTTCGGTTCTCTGTTTTGAGTACGCAAAAGGCCAAGTTGGAAAAACCGGGGAGAAATTTCCAGCACATCCAGGCTGAGGATCGGGAGCCATGTGCCTCGACTGGCTGGGGGGGGGGGGTTAGAGGGGAGGAAAGAAAGGTGAAAAAGTAAAACAACACCAAACCAGGAGCACCTGCTGAGCTAAAGAAACACAAGTTAATGGCAACAATAGGCTCACATGTGTATGGAGAGTACACACAGCAGAGTGAGGAAAGGTGCAGCACGATTGGTCCTCCAGCAGTCAACGCCTATGGAAGCATGACTTTGGGATGTTTCAGGGACATTAGCCATCAACAACCATAAGCTTATTGATTATTGAGCTGGAATTTGTGCGTATGCTATCAATGCTAACTGTATAGTGAGACAGTGTCTTATATTTTGTCTGAATTAAGGATAATTCAGAATCAAGAGGCTGGCAAGGCACAGAACTCTGCAGAACTTCATGGATTTTGCTGGAGTGGGAAGAAGATGGAGATATATAGATACATAGACTGAAACCAGCCTGATACCATGTTTAAACCGGTTGGAGCTCTTAATTATTCTTCGTGTGTTTTACGCTCTGACGTGTGTTCGATCATTTGCCTGCAGATCTGCGTTTTTCCACAGCATGATTTGTAAAGCAGTTGGCACAAGGTGTTTTCGTTCCATCATCTGCAGACGTGTTAGCGTGTCAAATTAATGGTTTTATTTATACGAAAAAAAAGATTTAACTTTTTCTGTAAGACTGGGATCCGCGCAGCTGTGTGTACATGCATACAGTCTCTGTGTGACACACACGTCGTGCTGAGAATCAGACCGCCAGGGGAGAGGACTGACGAGAGTGTTTGCTGTGCTTCTTAAAACAAACTCTCCAGGCAGATGAATGATATCAGGAGGTGCGATTAACAGGGACAAGGCTGAATGAAAAACTGTGAAGTAGCCCTTTGCTCACCCCTTACTTTCCCTTTCCCTCCCCTCCTCACTCTGAAAGTTAAAAAGTAATGGACCATGAGTGCTAACATGCGTGGATTATGGAAGTGTGACGTGAAGAAAATGACAGGAAGCTGTTACAAAAAGGTGTTTTACAGGCAGAAGAGTGGAAATAAAACCATGTTTTAAAGTCACTTTCCTGTTATGCCACTGAAGTTGCCACATATGCTGGCACTGGTTTAAATAATACAGCCAAGCCTCTTTTTCCCATTAAGAGTTAGAATCAACTATTTATCTGTATTATATACACTCATCTATCATAGCTGCTTAGGAGGTCCAGAGCAGCATTTGTCATATAATAAATGTATATAGTCTCCATCGCATATGGCATGGTGAACCATGTTCCCAGACAATTGTTTTTTTGGACATGTTCTAAGCCCATGCAGTATTTTCCATGACTGTATTAAATCCTTTATTAAGGGTTGCCTAAAGTTTTTAAATCATGGACATCCACTATTGACTTTAGGTCCACAGATTATATTCGAGGTACGTTTTATGTTTGGATGAAGATTGAATCTTTAACATGGTCACAGTTGTAAGTTGAGGAACAATTTGGGGATTCTGAAGAGGCTGTTTTTGCAGGTAAAAAAAACTCTGCACCTCTTTGCTTCTGAGAGACTCTGCCTTTCTAAGGTACTCTTTTCATACCCATTCATGTTAGTGACTTCTTCCCAACTATCATAACCAGTTGCAACACATAACCACAGTTGCTACATTTCCCATTTCTTTAGTTTCCTAGCTAAAACGGAAAATTATCATAAACAAATATTAGTTATGTTTTCTATTAAATGACTGTTAGATCATGAGATTTTTAAAGGATTTTGTTCTGTTTTAATTTTCATTTTATGCTCCCTCTTTTATGTTCTAGAATTGGGGTTGTATACTTTTTATTTGGAAGAGGTTTAATCTGGGAAGTTTGAGAGAGAAACTAATTTGAGGGATGTGTGTGGTTTTAGCGGTGATGTTCCTAACTACTGCAACATTCACAGAAAAGCTGCATCATCCTGGAAATCTAGAAAACATCCTTTCTGGTTTACCGAAATCCAATTAAACGGCATTAAGATACAACCGTAAATGGCTTTTTCTATTGAGATGCATCGAAACATCTGACTTTTGAAGGACCACACACTTCCAACTGAAGGCCAGCAGCAAAAATAAAGACTTGATGCGACGTTAGTGCCAAGATGCCTCTGGGAAACTGTGCTCTGTGTCTCCCACGTGCCTATTCAAGAAGCGCATTGTCGGCACAGCTGAGATGTGGTGGGTAGAACTGGCAGGCTTAGGGGCAAAACAAGAAAACTTGCCTCGCATGGCTTTTTGGACGACTGGTTGCACTGTGAACTTTTCCCAACATGTTTGTGCAGAATGATCAATTTAACTTGGTTTAAACTTTTGCAGGGCAGTGGGCAGTCCTCTGGTCATGGACCCCAACAGCATTTGCAGGAAAGCGAAACGTCTGGCGGGGAAGCAGGCGGAGCTTTGCCAAAATCAGCCGGAGATCGTCAACGAAGTGGCTAAAGGGGCCAGGCTGGGTGTCCGGGAGTGCCAGTACCAGTTCCGGTACCGCCGCTGGAACTGCACCAGCCACAACAGATACTTTGGCAAAATACTCCAGCAAGGTGAGTGAGGAAAGGATGTTACCGCTTTTTGGCATAGTGACAACCGTTGTGTTGTGTTCTCATGGGTTTTATTTGTATTGTATGATGTGATGTTACACCACTAAAGAAACCCTTTGGGAACTATGTTCATTTTTCATGTGGGTTCATGTTGTTTTTCTGCTCCTTGTCGCCATTGGTTGGTATTTCGTTCATCTAAACAGAGATGGAGCCCACGGCTCGCCCAGGAAACATGCTTACACATTTTTGGGTTGCATGTGGTGGGCCAAAAGGCAAAATGTGTGGATCACACATCACACAGTGAAACCATAAGTCACCTTTGAGGCTGGTTGATTGTGTCCCTTTTTTCGTGGACGGTTTTGTCTTATGTGTTGTTGTTTCTGTTTTCACTAGAGGTCTCAGAGTTATCCATTGACACAAATGAATTAAACAGGCTATTTCTGGTCTTTGGATTTGGTCAGCTCACATCCTTAACAAAGAAAAGCATTATATCACATTATCATTATATTTTGACTCTTTGCAAGCACATTAAAAAAGTGTCATGTCCAATTTTTCAGCTATCAGTCCCTCTGGGATTGCAGCCGGTGCTCTTACTCGACTTGAGGTCAGATCCCCGTCTGATAGCACTGCAACAGACAAGGGGGGCTGTTGTATTTCAGACTAGACATACTCACACTTGACTAACTCTCCTCTTCATCGGGTTGGGCACGCTCGAAATGATTAGCTAAGATTGCATTTTCTCTTAGCATCTCTCCTAAGATCTCCTAACATCTTAGTCCAACTCTTTGAAGTCTCTAATTTAACTGACATCAGGTCACAGCTGGGTCTTCTGCAATTACTGTGTTGGTTTTTCTCATGTGTGATTAGATTCCTAGAGAGCTACTTGTCTCCACTTTGCCAGGCATTGCAGAAGGGCCTTTTACTCCTGTTTAGTCAACAAACAAGGAACATTTATTATTTATATCACAAGGCCCCTTTTGTGCTCAGTCGTCTTTTACTTTACCTGATGTGTAAGTTGTTCATTTAAATTTCACATGCAGCGTTACACCAGTTTGTGGGTTTACACTATGATTGTAGATTTGTCTTGTGTCTCTAGCTCCTAAAAGACCTTCAACAGCCATTGAATGGAAATGTTCAGAAAGGCAGGGATGCGTTTACAGTTCTGCTAAAGTTCGTATTGAAGAGCATCATATGTTCTTTTCGGCTTGAAACTGCTTCACATAATTATTAGATCAAACCCGTACGGAAGAATATTGTATTTTTTTTCCTTTCAGTCACTTAACCCAACCAATTTGATAGTGCAAGGACTTTAAAAAGTGAAAAAAATCCAATCTTTCATCTGTCTTGATGGTTAATAGGAATGTTTTGCTCTTTATCTTAATCAAAATATCTGAATTTATAACAACATGGCTCTAGGTCGGATTTCAGATTGAAAAAAGACAGAAAAGAATAAAACCACAAAGATATATGGAGAGAGGGGAAGAGACTGGAGAAAAGGGGCAAGAATCTACCAGTTGAAGACAATTAATCATGAATTCCTGCCTGTCTATGACGGAGGCCAAAGTGCCTCTCTGTTTTGAAGCTTTTGTCCTCAATTACCTGGATCTGCTCTTAATGACTGTTTATCATACTCTAGTACCAGTAAATGTCCAAATAAAAGTGCCTCTGTATTTACCCTCTCTAAGTGCTTTACTTAACCTCGCTGATAGTTGTTTAAAGTTTTCGTCGTTTCATAGTGTTATGAAATCCTCCAATGACTCATTCAACACTACGTTTTTAGCTCGGCTCCAGTACATGTGCAGAATATATTTTTGCTTGATTCTGTCTTGCTTCAGAGGATGATTAAATTCTGCACACTTTTGGTGAGATTGCATTGTAAATTCATCCCGTGGAATGAAATAAAAAAATCATGTGGTCGTCTTAAAAAATGATGTGAACTCGCATCATGTGGCATGTTGTCACTTTGATTTGGACTTTTTTTGTGTTAAAAAAAAGAGTTGTGTAGCAATGTATCATCTTATTTATGAGACAGAAGTAACTTACCTGCACCAGTGGAATAAGGGAAGGGAATTGGAACGTCTTGTCACTCTTACTCTGTGTGTATTACACAGTTCATTGGGTTTTAGATGATCAACATGATAATAAATGCCTCTCATTTCCACTTTAACCACACTTAAATAATGTGCTGGGGTGCAGTTGTTTTCTTTTTGTCTTGCGTCATGGAGGCAGAGGTGTAAAGTGTGAAACTGTGTGTATCGGTGTAATAGGGGTTTTAGTTGATTTCACAACATTACTGAAACACTGCCATTTACCAGCTTTATTGCAAGAGGTGCAAATAAATGAATGGACGTGTTGACGCACGCCCTTTTTTTTTGTGTGTCTAAACGAAAAATCCTTTCCTCTGGACACAAACCTTTCACACACTCAGCTCCAAAACAAGGTCAAATATCTGCTTCCTTGTCATTAATTGGCAGTTATTATCCTCCTTTCCTTGATCTTGGCTGTGTTTAAATAACATGCAGACCCTGGAACAGTCTTGACATGCAGAGTGAGCAAGCCAGTGTGCAGCGATTCTGGTAATCGCACACAGGATGTTGCAGTTCTTTTTTAGAGTCACAATAGGTTGTCTGTCTGTGTGTAAATCTGTCCCCCTAGAATAAACAAAAACTTGCTAGGGGCTGTCTCATGATTGCACAAAAAATGCATGCAGAATTTCACACTTTGGATTGGTTAAAAAAAAAGCTTATCTATAGTTAGATAAACCAGAAATTCTCCCAAAAATGTGTTAGTATGCTAATTGTTTTTCTGTTTGTTTGTCTTCCCTTTACTTAAACTTCTAACTTTCTGTTTCAGTCCATGAAAACTCTTATTTTGTGTAAGTGCCAAAAACACTTGATGTTATCACACTTTGCTGCAGGTGTCATTGAGTCCAAAAAACCTTTAATGCACTTCTTCCTGTGAGAGATCATTGTTTATTGTTGTTTTTAGATCCTTGCTTAACAGTAAGGTCATTGTCTGTGATCAAATGCACTTGATCACCCCGGTGTTATTGCCTAAAGATTGAAAAGTCATTAAATGAATATGTGCTAAATGCTGCAGAAGGAATTAGGAGCAGACATAGGCAGGCCCAGACACCCTCCATGGCAGAGAATTTGTTTGGAATTCATGTCTGCAAGGAAAATGTGAAGCAGGGTGCCTCAAATCATCAAATTTTTGATACCTTCTTTAACACTTCCCTCTTTATCCTCTCACTTCTTCAACCCCTAGCTTGTTTTTCATATCTGCCCCCACTGTGTAGTGTTCTTTTCTCCTTGTGTGCCAAGTTTCAGAGGAATAGTTTGTTCTTGGGTTATAAAACCATATAACCATATTGAAAACAATACATATGAATACTGAACAAATATTTTTTTTAAATGGTCAAATAATACTGAGTGTAATTTTAGCATGCATTCAGCACACACTGACTGTGAGGTCTACATACCATTGGAAATGTGTATTGTCTTGTATATATCACATTCAATTCACCCAAGAACCTTCACATTCATGTTCAATTTGCTGCAAAATTTGAGAAATTCCGATTTTTTTCTCTTACTTACCTGATGGCAAACATACTCACAACCTAATCTGCCCACACTGGAAGCATCTTGTGGGGTCAGGATGTACAGCTGGTATTGATGTATTGTGTGTGCAAGATTTGTCACATGCCACCCAGTCTGTGAGTGTGTGCATGTGTGTGTCTTCACATTGCTAATGAATCCCATTCAGCCAATTAAGCGATTTGGAAGTGTTGATGGTGGGGGTTGCATACTCACTGCTATCCAAGAAATAAATTACTTTCTTGAATTACTCTCCACATAACACACTGTGGCTGAAATACTATTTTTTGGACTTATTGTTTATCACAAAGTTTTGATTTACATTCATTTCTAGGCACCATCACTGAATGATTTCTTACTGGCCTCTATGCTAACCCTTAACATCACGGCTAACTAGAACTAACCTTTAACTCAGAATGTGTCTCTATCCGGCCTCTTAGTTTGATCCACAAGTCAACTTTAAGTGTCAATGGACATTTCTAAACTTGGATTCTTCATTTTCAGTTGTGGCAGCTAATTTGCTGTTGGTTTGAATAAATAACAATGGTGACGCACTGAGTTCAGGTTGAAAATCATGCTGAAGTCATCGGGGAGGACACTCGATCAATTTGCAGTTGTGGTTGCGCATTCCTTCAGCCAGCAGTGCTAATCTCTGCACTTAAAATAAACCAACAGCTGTGGTGTGTATGAAAGCGCATGTGTTTGAATGGGTTTGCATTTAGGGAAAAAACAGCACCTTTCAGCAAAACAGATCCAGATAACTTTTCAGTCGTAGTTATGGACCAGAACTGAGAGGACAGTGCTTTTGTCTCGTTCTGTGAAGCTCACATATTGCCAAAACAGAGATGTCAAGAGTTTTCTTTTACTTACTGAGGATGTTTTCTTGATGTCTTCAAAATTGATTGCAAAGTACCAGCGAACAGGGTGTAAAAATCAATATAATTACTACAAACACTTTCCTCTTCCAGTTTGCGTGGCATTTCAGGTTGGCCTGAAACAGCAAAGCTTTTTCAATCGTGGCATCATAACTAATTTTACTCATGTATCCATTGGTAGTATTTTCACAAGGAATTTTTAAAGTTTTGATTTATAGTTCAAAGTCGTTAAATTGTCAGGTTTGCTCTCTCCTAGCTGGTTGGAAAAAAATTATGAGTTATGAAAGATTACAAATGAGGCATAAATTCAAACTATAAAATACTGATCAACAGCAATTATAGTGAGTTTACAGAGGAAAAGCCACAAAAGTACGTACATAAACCTTGAATGTGCATATTATCTGCAGAGAATGTTAAACCTACTATGACAAACACGAGGGGGCATTCTAAAGGGACATCTTCATCTTCATCTAATACAAACAAAAGAAAAAAAATGCTTGAATATTGATTTAACAAAAATAAGTTGGTGAAATTTCCATATTCAGGCTAAGATATTTGACTAATTCATTCTTACTCATTTTAAGAAAATGCTGGTTCCAAGAAGAAAAACTGATTTTTTTATAATGGCGCTCTCTATTGCCTTTCTATACGGCAGATATCCGGGAGACTGCGTTCGTCTACGCCATCACGGCGGCCGGCGTGACGCATGCGGTGACCCAGGCCTGCAGCATGGGGGACCTCCTGCAGTGTGGCTGCGAGGCCACCCGGAACAGGGCGCCTCCGCGGCCGCCTTCATCTTCTTCATCTGGGGACGGGGTCAAATGGGAGTGGGGGGGCTGCGGGGACGATGTGGAGTTTGGCTACGAAAAGTCAAAACAGTTCATGGACGCTAGGAGGAGAAGGGGCAAAAGCGACATCAGGACGCTGGTTGACCTGCACAACAATGAAGCTGGCAGGCTGGTAAGAAGCACGTCTCTTTTTTTAAGGTTTCAACAACAGACGCAATGGTGTTGCTTGCTCTCTGGAATCCTCCCTCATTCCACATCATGCGAAAGAGAAAGACATGGCCCCTAGCTAAATTTGTGCAGCGCTGCAAACTGATATTCTAACAAGAATCGGGTTTCAGACACAAAAAAAAACGCGAGAACGTGCCGCATATTTTGTCTTCGCACCTCCGAGGCAAGTAACTTCTAGCACGTCTGAGGGCCTGGTGGAAATTTCAACATCTTCTCCTCGCCTTGAAAATGCAGAGTGAAAAATGTGCCAAATATGGTATCAGAAAAGCGATGGGAAACCAGAATCTGAAGCCCTTCGTGACACATTTACTTGTATCTGCTGCTTTTTTGGATCTCAGTCTGTTACTGTCTACTCGCATAAATGTTGCACAAGAACCCCTCGCAATTATTAGGGTTTGTTTTTGCCTGGGTCAAAAGAAGGTGGGGAGGAACACAGGGGAGGGCTTTTTGGGATGTTGTCCAACTGAATATTAGCGACAAACCATTTGAACATCATTGAAGAAAAAAATGGCGCACGTATTACCAAAGTTGGGAAATAAACTTGCCACAGTGGGTTCACGTTTCTTTTTGTCTGCATGCGTGTGTGTCCTACACACACTTTGACGGTGTGTGTGTGCGCATGGACAGGTGTGTGTGCTTGTGTGTGTGTGTGTGTGTGTGTGTCTGTGATGGGTTAATTATGTGCAGTATAAGTGAATGATCTGTTGTCAAGGCTTGTTAGATGTAGGAAGGCCAGAGGCAGCATTGAGGTAAAAGGGGGGTGGGGTTGGGGAAAAATTCCTTCAGAACACCGTCTGCTTTTATCTTACCCATCTATCAATGAGTGTTTGTGTGTGTGTGTGACCATGAGTGTGTATGCCTGCGCTGGTGGCTTTGTTTTGTGATGTATGGAGAACACAAGAATACATCTTTCTTGCGAACAAGCGAACTCGTCATTTATCAAAAGATTCACTGCAGGGTACGAGATAGAAGTCTGATAAACCTTTTTTCTTTTTCTTTTTTTTTTCCCCCCTTCTCCTCCATGCCTCTCCGTTTCCTCTACACACCCCTTTTCGCACGCTTGTCCCCCCTGCCAGGCGGTGAAGCTCTACATGAGGACTGAGTGCAAGTGCCACGGGCTGTCGGGCTCGTGCACCTTGCGCACGTGTTGGAAAAAGATGCCCCACTTCCGCGAGGTGGGCGACCGGCTGCTGGAGCGCTTCAACGGCGCCTCCAAGGTGATGGGGGGCAACGACGGGAAGACCCTGATCCCCGTGGGCCAGAACATCAAGCCGCCCGACAAGCAGGACCTGATCTACTCGGACGAGTCCCCGGACTTCTGCCTGGCCAACCGGAAGACGGGCTCGCTGGGAACGCGGGGCCGCATGTGCAACAGCACGGCCATGGACATCAGCGGCTGCGACCTGCTGTGCTGCGAGCGGGGCCACCGGGAGGAGACGGTGGTGCTCGAGGAGAACTGCCTGTGCCGTTTCCACTGGTGTTGCGTCGTCCAGTGCAAGAAGTGCCTGGTGCGAAAAGAGCTTAGTCTTTGTCACTGATGAACATTTTTTTTTTTTTTTCTTTAGAATTACTTCTGTTACTTTGTACGTTCTCGCTTTAGTGAAAGAAGGAAATGATTTCGGACCTTCGCGGTGATATTTTTTTTGTTTTGTTTTAGCCGTCAGACAATAACCCACAAACTCTCATTAGAAAAGGTTTACGGTGCTGGTTTCCTATGGGTTTTAACGGATAGGCTTCAACCCCCCCCCCCTCGCTGAACTACCTATTTCCTGTTTCTTGTATATGACAAAAGGACCAAAGAATAGTCATTTTAATTCAATAAAAGGACCTGTGCATGGAGGGTCTAGTCTTGACTAGGTGGCACAAATTGTGTCTCCCCCTTTGACTTTTTGTGACAATGAGACACAGAATTTCAGACGTGAAAACAGGAATTAGCCTGACCTCCTTATTTTATAACCAGGTAATACATTTGTAGACATCACACTGTATGATGAAGCTTGTAAGCCTTTAATGACCTTTAGTACTGTCGGCATTTTAAATTACTACAAACTCATTTTTCCTATCTACATTACGCTTTTGGATAATATGGTCCAAATTCCAATATTTCCATTACTTTAAAATGTGTGTTAATCCAGTAGGTGTTATTTAACAGTGAAGCTCTATGTTTGATTAAACATCACCAGCAATATGTCCATGTTTACAATATATACTTCCCAAAATATGTTTTGTTCAAATCTTTTTAAATATTTTGTGCCTCTGTCACAGTTTCTTCACGCTAACCATCTAATGAAACATGGGCAAAAACAAAACAAAACAAAAAAGACAACATTCTTTACAAAAAGATTCTGGTCTTGTCAAGTATTTTCTCCAGAAAAGAAAAAGGGAAGTTGTGTCACACAAGTTTGAAGAGAGCTGTCAACGCTGTCCTTTCCAGGTGTAGACTTAGCCTGCCAGGAAAGACTCTTATTTATGTAAAGATATGATGACAAAACCACTCACCTCCATCCCTCTCAGAAGCACTTTGGATACAGTGGCTACTGTGGACTTCCTACAGCTTGACAATAAGAACTCGTGGTGTTTGACTGTTTCTTTCTAAACCTAAAGAGAATCCTGTACGTTCCATTGTTTGGTATCAAGAAAATGTACATAATGTTTTTATTTGTTAAACTGTTCTAGATATACAGGGCTAATATAATGATGCACTTTGGATGTTAGTTTAGATTTGATACTGTAAGTGCATATTTGTGTGTGTGTGTGTGTGTGAGTGCGTGTGTTTGTGAGAGAGAGTGTGAGATAGAGAAGGTATGTGATGGTATGTGTATGTGTAGGTTAGCCAGTTATCATCATATCCTTCACTTGAGAGTACTTATGTTTGTATCTGTAAGTTCCCATCTGGCATCTACGCTGGTTATTAAATGCACACGTCTCTGTGGCTCTCTGTCCCTGTTTGAGCTTAACAACATCTTTTCACTGTTATTAAAGTTTTATTCTACACCATATCATCATGCACAACACATACTGAACTGTAAAGCTTCATCTAGCTTTTGTCTTCAAGCATGTGTTCGGTTGGTACCTTTTCATTCTGTAAGTCACAATTTGATTTTTCATGAGGAAAAGAAAATGAATTGCTTTGTAAATATTTATTCCCGCAACTTTCTTTTTGCATAAACTAGGTAAGTGTTTACTTATTTTTTTCCTCGTATCCCAAACATATCTATGGCTCTTATGTTCACACTGGCATATATGACCTACGATTACATGGAAAGAATTTTCATCTTGAAGTAACTTATTATTGCTTGTAGAGGACATTATTATGGGTCATATTTGAAGGTAGGAACAAATGACTGAGATGCCAAAAATCATTTTGTGCATTCAAAGCTAAACTTCGCACTTAAACAGCTAATGAAAGACATGTTTAGCAAATTATGAATATGGCCAAAATTCAAATGCCAAGTAAAAATATAGCCCAGGGTTAGCAATAGAATGCATTAACTCATCCATTTGTCATTTTTAAGGCAGTTTTCCCCTTGTTGCTTTTCACAGTCTTCTGAGACACTTTGGTTTCCTTCTTATGTTACTTTATAATTTCATTAAATTCAGAATATGTAAACAATATGATGACTAATGACTCACAGTGTAAGCACCCATACAAAAGGAAAATATTCAGATTCATTATTGCACTTTCTTCTCTCATAACTCATTACTGAGCAGTGGATACTCCTTTACTCTTTTATTTATCTGTATGTGTGAAGATAATTCTATATTGAAAATCAGGGTATCAAAAATTCAAATGTATTACAGCAGGAGAAAGAGAGCAATTAACAATTAAATTGGGAGTCAATTGTTTTAAGTACTTTTATAGCTATCAGATTAATGATTTTTGTTTATTGAAGCAGGAGGATATGTTGAGTCTTAGACCTCACATGTAATGCTAATGGCAGTGTACTGTTGTCTAAACAATAGGGATTTAAAGGGAAAGAGGGAAAAAAAAAACTTTTTTACAGTGGAAACGATCACAAACAACTTTTCAAGAACATACATTGCACTGATCTGTTGCTAAACAGGAAATGTGCAACTTGGGAAATTCTATACAATTATTAAATATTTTGGACAGACAAAAATGATGACAGGTGAGGAGTTTATTAGCCTGTGAGGTCACAAAATTAACCCTGGTAACCTACAAGTGACTAAACACATTTTTTTCTTCCAAATTAACTAACTGTGATTTTGATAAGAATATTATAATTTGACCAGTGAATAATAATCGTATAATAGCAATACAACAAAGAAAAACAACAAGACATGTTTTTGGAAGTTTTTTTTTTATTATCATAAAGACCAGAACGTTGTATATATGCTTTGTGGATGAATGAGACTAAAATAGGACCTGTTGTGCTGCTAGTGAAATTAGGAATCTGAGTTAAGGGAAGCTAACTCTAACTATACAGTAAAAGTTAGAAAAAAAAACTAAACTTAACAGGCTGTTGATTGGTGTTTAAGAGATTGAAGTGAAATGTTTATTTTGGAAAATTCTCTTAATATTCTTTAACAATTTCTCTTTACAGTGATCCCACCTTATTTATATAGCCTTTTTTTCTCCCCCTTGATTATTTTGATGATAATCAGATCCTACCTGCATCTTTCTCATTGAGAATCTTGGCTCCTATCCAAAGGTAGAGGTATTGTTTTTAGATATTTATTTTACAGAAATGTAAAAACAAGAGGGGGGCAACGGTCTGGTATTAGTCTAAAAAGCACAAGTTGAAACAAGTTCATATTTTCCAGGAATTTTTGACATAGTGGTGTGCAGCACTTTGGCCAGAGGTTGTGTTTAAGACATGGTGAGGTAGGCCAAAATGCCACAAGACTCCCGCCTCAGCCTGTCTAGTGAATCTCTTCTCTCTTCTCTTTAACCTGTGCAGCGAGTTGGTGTTGCATGGGCAAAGCCAGTGAAAATAGACAAGAGAGCAGATAGATTTATTGGAGCCTTGGTATAAATATAGTTGTCTGTCGACATCTGTGTGCGTGTGTCTGCATGTGACTGTCTTTTTCAGTGTGTGTGAGTCTGTGGCCGTTGGAGTGTGTGGCCGGGCTATAATGGGCGTATTTTTCCATGGGTCCCTTTGAGAGAGAAATAGTGCCTGAGGAATGCAACATCATCCCTAATAGAGATGAGTTTTTGGCTCCACCTCTGTTGACTCACGAGTGCTTATAGACTTCAAAATACAGACCTGCACAAAGCATTAATGAGTGGTTGCCACTGTAAATGGATATACAGTGTTGTGTTGCAGACAGTAGATCAGTCACATAAATAGCATCCTGTCATTGCTTATCGGCTACGGTGGAGTCTTGGTGGTCTTCTGTTTAGACACACTTACCCTGCATTTACGTGTAAACGTGAAACCCAGACAGAGATCCTGTAATAAACTATGAAAATAAAACATGTACGGGCCTCTTTGGGGATATGAGCGACAAAGTGAGGGACAATGAGTGAGCCGAGGGGGGAAAAAAACACATAAAGACAGCGAGGGAGATAGTGAAAGTAAGAATGTGACACCCACAGAGAACTTTGAGGTAATATGACACTGTATTGCACCTCCATCTCCTCTCCAATCCCCAATACCCTATCAATCTAGCAGTGGGATGGTGCTTTCGCAAAGGGCACATCTACAGATCAGCTCTGTGTGGGGTTCCATCTGATAACAGTGACTGTTAAAATAGGAGTGTAACGCAGAACCAATCAACTTTGACTCGTATTGGTGAAATGAAGCCATCTAGCATCTTTCTCTGATGAAATAAGCACTTTATGTCCAATTAATCACCCTCTCAAAATACACAATTTCGTATTCACACACATTCTCAGGAGTGCCTTCATAACCCTCTTGTTGGTGGAGCTCGGCGTGTTTGGAGGAGACAGTTATCTTTATGAGTTAATGCAGGCCCCGGAGGTGATCCGCTGCTGCCGAAAGTTCCGCAGCCCACCCAACTAGGCCGCTAATACCTAAGAGATTTAATAGTCCATTTTGGGCCCGGCAAACACATCTTCACCATTCAGGGCGAAGCTAGCCCCGGGACGATCAAATGGCAGTTACTGTAGAACAAAAACACCTCTGGGTTCTCCGACACGACTTATCTTGCATGGGGTTGTTCCTTAACACGAGGTGAGTGGCGTGCTAAGCCAGATAAATTGCTCTGCAGATAAAGCCGGGCTCGAGCAGTGTCAGGTTCAAATGTACTTTGGCAACACGACCGCACTCCTTGAGAACTATACTTTGTGAGAAAATATAAGTGCTTTTCTCATGAAACCTGTCATCATTGCAACATCCTGAAATAACACTTGCTGCCTTGAGAAAGACCCATTGACCCACATCTTTGTCTTGGGTGGATAAACACCCAGATGACCCCGCCATGCATCTTTAACTCATCTCTCTCCCTCTCCCTGGTTCCCCCTAAATCTCCCTACACGCGTCCTGCTTTTTCTGCCTCTTTCCCCCTCCCCTTCTCCGTCACATTTGCATTCTTTCTTGCGCTTGTGTCATTTATCAAACTGTGCTCCACGTTCTCTCCTTCTCCACTGTTATCTCTGTTTGGGAAAAAAACATGGGTGCTAAGAGTTGGTGGCTTCTTCGGCCGAGGGTCTGTTCCTGTGTGAAGCCAGGGCTGGCCTCCTTCGCTTCAAGACGGATGATAAACACGGTTGTTTGTGCAACAACAGACTTTGAGCGCCTTGACGAGAAACAAACGAGCAGGTTGCTAAAGTGCTTGCACATGTGCGTGAGCAATTTCTCGACGAGCGCACGCATCATCTTTTCCCACTTTCATTCAGTCTGGAAATAACTTCAGCCTTGTTTGAATCAATTGGATTTTAAGGGGGACCAGTTAAAGCTCCTGTTACTGTAAAACACTTTATGTGCAAGCTCATTTGATCCCAGTTAATCCATAATACAGAATAGACAGTCTAAACACTGTTTATAGAAACTAGTCTTGGCTCATGTGCATGGTGGGAAGCGATTCAATGGCCATGCCGACGTTTAAGCACAAGATGGCGTCCTTGTAACAGAAAGTAGCTTAATCTCACCTTCCTTCACAGGGTTCCCTGATATGATCTTGATAATAATTGCTCAATACTGGGTATAATCTAATAAGATTTTGAAATGGAACAAAATGTGAAAAGATTTTTTGTTTGCATATAGGTGCCAATTGCTGCTCTTGTGTCAGCTATAATAAAGAAATCGAAACATTTCTGGGAATTTCCATCTTTGAAACCCAGGGGATCTTTTTTCTACTATAATCATGGCAAATCTTTTGAACAGGCACCTGGATCTGTTGTAAAGGTCATTTTGCATACCACCTGAGTTGAACGGCATGCACACAAACGCACAAATGAGTGTCCATCAACACACACACACGTATGCCCTGTTAGACACAAACATTTTGAGATAACAAAAGCACGCAAGCATGTTGTAATCATACACAATTAGGGATGCCCCGAGGTAAGTGAGGCAGCACGAAAAACAATCACATCTGACTTCTGTGTGTGTGTGGGTTTGTGAGTGCATCAATCAATGCAAATTGCTTTTGTATGGGATACTTTTGGAGGAGTATGATGTGCCTCTCTTGTTTACACTCGTTTTTATCACGGATCAATGCTAATTTTATAAGTCCGTTTTGATGGTCTGGGTTATTTTTTATGAAAGTGTCAATTTTAATTAGGATTATATATGTGGTGCGTAAAGTGTTGCAGTCACACATTTCGCAGCTTAGAAGGTTTCATCGTTGTTGAAAAGGATACTTGGCTCGTCTTTTTGGACCAAAATCTGAAATACTGGAGAACTATGAGCAACTTGTTCTAGCCTTATTGTACAAGTGGTAACGAACCCCACAGGTACAGAAGAAAGCTCTTTTAGCAAATGAAATGTGTACTACACGTGGCAAGCTATGC